AGTCAGGGGAGGTACAAAGCTTTTCAGTTAATTTACGATCCTGTGAGGTGTCAAGGCGGTAATTACTCTGTGACTGTTGCCTTTGCCGACAGGGAAAAACAGTCCATTGAAAACCTGTTTTATGGAGAAGTCCTTTTCTGAACTTGAAAGATTTGTCTATCCCCCCAGAGCAGTGAGTGAGGAGGAATGAAGATTTTGGCCCAGTCTTTTTCCTAACCGGTGAGTTTGTAAAGCACTTTTTGATGAATAGGAATTTGTTTAACAGAATCTTTAGATCCTTTTTTGGGGGGGGGGGGTCATTCCAAGTGACATGCAAGATCTTAGTTCCCCAACCAGGGATCGAACCTATGCCCCCTGCAGTGGAAGCATGGAGTCTTAACCACTGGACTGCCAGGTTAGTCCCTAATTTTTACATTCTTGACTAGACATCTCACAGACAACTCATTCATTCATTCAGCAAATATCTGTAAGCGTTACTGGGCCCAGGGACTGTGGCACGCGTGGGGATAAAGTGACGAACCTGGGAGAGACCCAGAGCACGGGGAAGCCCCAGGCCTCTTGGTGCTCCCTCGGGGTGGGGGTGGCTGGAGACAAGTAAGCAAGTAAGTGAGTGAGTGGCAATGCAAGTAAGTAAATTACGGAAAATGATTGCACACGGCGTTGACCGTTGTAGAAAATGGAACTCGGCCATGTGATGAAGTGTGTGCACTGGGGCAGGGGGCAGCTCGTCCATTCTGAACCGCCCAAAACGTTGTAGACGTAGGGACCTGCTGCCCGAGGAAGGGTCCCCACTCCCGTCCCTGCTCACAGCACCGTTGCAAAGTGGTGTCATCCAGCTGGCAGGGGCGAAAGGATACCTTTGTGAGAACCTGGCAAACTTTTAGCGGGACTCTCTTTGGATTCCTCTTTCAGCTAAATAGAGCACAGAGCTTCTTTAGGGAAAAGAGAAGAAGGTATTGCAAGTTTTAAACAAGAGTAAGGTTCCCCAATCGCTGCCTCAATCAAGTTCATTAAAACTGAATGTATATTTAAAACTTCCTTATGATTAACTGTGTTATCATGTAAGTAGTAATACTTGAATGTCTCCACTATGTTGAAAGGCATCTTGATTTAGGAGAAAGGGAGTCATGTACCCTCTAAACCTTTGGCTTTCATTAAGTGTAAGTAGTAAATCTCAAATGCCTGTGGTATAAATAAGGTAACCTTTCTAAGAATTAGCCCTTCTAGGAAATAAATATTTGGCTTGAAAAGCTCTACTACTGTATACTGTTTGCATGTTTCCCCAGCTGCTGTGTTTTGATAGCTGGGGCAATAAGATTAAAACAGACACGAGTTAAACACACACACACATACACGCACGGAAAGATCCGTGCAAACACCTGAGCTTGTGCTTTTGGTGTCGCTGATAAATACAGAACGTGATGCGCATATGGGGTCTGGCTGCGTTCCTCCCCTGTGCCAGGTCACAGTGCACCCAGGGCCCTTCAGCACGATGCTCTACAGAGAACCCCGGCAGTGGTGGCCAGTGTGATTTAGGACCTTGTTCTGTGCGGAGACCAAATTTAAGTTAAAAAATGCGTGTATTCTGAAGGAATGCCATATATTTGGCCTAATGTGAAAAGATGATGCCTTCTTCTTCTTCTTTTTAAAATATTTATCTATTTGTTTGGCTGCATTGGGTCTTAGTGGCAGGATTCTTCATTGTGGCACTCAGGCTCAGCTGCTCTGTGGCATGGGGGAGATTAGTTCCGTCACCAGGGATTGAACCCGAGTGCCCTGCATTGCAAGGTGGATTCTTAACCACTGGATCACCAGGGAAGTCTCAGTGGATGCCATCATGAAGCTAGTTAGGCAGCACCCAGCAGTGGAGAGCAGTTGCCCTAGAGTTTGGCACGCAGGTCACATCCTGACCCGACCTCTGGCTAGCTGTGCAGTCCCGGTTAAGTGGCCTGACCTCTCTGGATTATTTCCTCACCTATGGAAGGTGAGTACTCACAGGGCCAACCCCTGTGCTTAAGTGAAGGTCTTAAGTGGTCTTAAGTGAAGACCTTATCATGATGCATGGTCCAGGGTTAAAAGGTCCGGCACTGTTAGCTCTCACATCATTCCTTCCATCATCTCTGCTGGATTCCACCTGGCATCCAGATGGGGCTGCTTCTGCCCTTTGGTGTTTGCTCTGCTGTGTCTCTGTAAAGCAGCTTAAAAGCTACATCTCCGGAAATGGAGGTGCTCCTTGGAGGAAGGTGTGTACTGCTGTGAACTTGCCTCTCCGGGATTCTGCTCCTGGTCTCAGAGCAGTGGAATGCCCTCTTGGTAAAGGCTGCCCAGTGGTCCTCTCTGTGGCCCTGATGTGCAGAGAAAGACACGTCTGGGAACTTTTAAAAGAAGGTAGCTGGCCCGGTCGGAGCTATCGCGAAGGCTGACTTGAATGTGTGTGCATTTACACACACACACGTAATTGTACTGCAGGGCTTTTCTAGTGCCTCAGACAGTAAAGAATCTGCCTACAGTGCAGGAGACCTGGAATCAAAACGTGGGTCGGGAAGGTCCCATGGAGGAGGAAACGGTTACCCACTCCAATACTCTTGGCCTGGAGAATCCCATGGACAGAGGCGCCTGGTGGGCTACGGTCCTGGGGTCACAAAGAGTCAGACACGACTGAACGACTAACACTTTCACTTTCATAACTGTATTATATTTATAAAGTTAAAAATATATTTCAGTATATATATATATATATATATATATACATTTAATGGCATCAGAATTGATTAAGCAAAATGAATGACCTTATGTTACGTAGGGAGAACCTTGGAAAGTAAGCCAGAGGCCGATGAGCTTTCTCTATTTTTCTCTAGTCCATACTGCAAAGTTGGGCAAGATGGGTACCTTTATTTCCTTTGTCCCATCTGAAAATGTGTGTGATGGATGCAAAGAGATATTTGTTCATTGCCACATTATTTGTGACAAAAATAAAAAAAAGAATGGTAAACAACCTAAATGATTATCAATAAAGGAATGTCTAAATAAACCAGTATTCCACAGAATCATATTACAGCAGTTTAAAAAAAAATAATCAAGTTGCAAAGAATTAATATAATATAATTATATTAAAATGCACACACACACACAACTGTATACCGTTGAGAGAATATGTGTTTGTGCGTGTGTGTGTGTGTATACATGTCCACAGAAATAATTTGAAAGGGATGTCATCAAACTGGGAATATAGTTTCCTACAGGAAGGAAATTGGGATGAAGAGAAGGTGAAATTCAAGGGGAATTTTTCTTTCACTATCATATTTGAATTTTAATGTACAGTGAGAAATTACATATGTATTACTTGTATGGTTAAACTTAAAGTAACTTCTAAAACAGGTGTGAGGACACTATCTTAGTTCAGGCTGCTATAATGAAAACCGTAGACTGGGCGGCCTGAGAGCAAGCATTTCTTTCTCACGGGGCTGGAGGCCAGGAAGGCCAAGGTCAAGATGCTGGGTGATTCTGGTTTCGGCAACAACTGTTCCTCGCTTGTGGACAGCCACCTCTTCGCTGTATCCTCAGATGGCAGGGAGAGAGGGGACTCTGGTCTCCTCTTCTTAGAAGGGTACTAATCCCATTATGGGGCCCCATCCTCTTGACCTCATCTTAACCTAACTGCCTCCCAAAGCAGCTTCCCAGTTCCATCCCACGGGGGATTAGGCTTCAATACATGAATCTGGGGAGACACAAGTATAGTGAATAACACCAATCTGCAAAGCTTTTGAAAAGCTCCATTGCAGAATGTAAAGCCATGTACTTGTGAGGATACCACTTTATATTCTCACTCCAGGACCCTGATATTTTTCAGATTTAACAGCCAGTGATATTTCTTCAACCAAAATTCATGTTCCATTTAGATTCTAAGTGTTAGGATGATTAAACAAAATGAATGGTGTACCCATAGTTAGACTTTGGTCTCCAAAGGACTGCTTTTATAGTGGTCTTTTGTCATAGACAAATGGCTCTCCCTAACTACATAATGAGTATGTACTCTCTGCAAAGCACTGTGAAGGCAAATAAGGGAAGAATAAGAGTAGAATATTACTCCTTAGCTGTAAGAATTTTTCTGTGTCACTGTTGGGATGAACTGTGACACCTGAAACTATTTAAGATAATCAGTATAAGTAATTCAGTGTTAAATCACTTCATAACATATTCTTCTTAAGGCAGAAATTAGCTGAAGGTACTCCTAATTATAGCCTGTTAATTTCAATTTCAGAAACTGGTGTCATTTTTTTTTTTCCCTTTCTATTTGTCCTACAAAGTTCTATTTCTGGTCATCAAAAAGAAGGTAACTCTGTGGGGAGACTAGGGATTTCATTTGCCCAAATGAGTAACTTTTAACTACTCAATTTCAAGTTGCCAAATGTCTATTTGTTCTTGGGTTTTTGTGGTATGTTATGTTCAGCTTGCCTGATGTCGGGCAGAATTTAGGTCTCTAAATACCATGGAAATGCAAGGAATGTCAGACATTACAAAAAGCTCTTGTAGTATGAATGTTCCTTCATGTGTGTGCTTGCTAAGTCGCTCAGTCGTGTCCGACTCTTTGTGACCTCATGGACTGTAGCCCGCCAGGCTCCTCTGTCCATGGGATTCTCCAGGCAAGAATACTGGAGTGGGTTGCCATGCCTTCCTCAGGGGATCTTCCCACCCAGGGATCAAACCTTCATCTCTTACATCTCCTGCATCGACAGGCAGATTCTTTTACCAATAACACCACCTGGAAAGCCCATAAATGTTCCTTCATACCATGTTCTAAAGGCAAATATACTACTTTTTAATTTACCTTTTTAGACTGCCAACTATGATATCAGGGACAGAGTACTATTTTGTTTTACAGATGTAAGAAAAATAGCATCTGTAGAAATTCCTCTTCTAGAGATGGTGTCCTGAGTCTTCCTAGGGAGCCGTTGTGAGGGTTCTGTTGGTGTCTGAGTTTATCTCCATGTACTTTACAGCTGGAGGCTGGGGAAATACCCACAGACGCTTGTGTGGACCTGCTCGACTCCCTGGGAAACAGGTGAGTCACTGGGACTGCATAAGCCTCCACTCCAACTGGAGAACTAGCTTTTAGGTCCCACGGGTTCAGGGTCAACTCAGACCCAGTCCAACACGAAAGATTTGGCATCTACCTTCCCCAGTGCCAAAGATCCTCATGAGCAGTTACAGATGTTTGTAGCAGGACCCGTGAATTCTTTATCTTATGAACTCTCTGGCCAGGTTCCTCTCCAGGGAGACCTAGCCTCTTCTCTTCCAGTGTCCTGTGAACCTGTGGATTAGAGCAGCTGATGTCAGTCTTCTGTTCTCCAGCTCACTCCCTCTCACTTTTTAATTTTGTTGTCGTTTGTTTCTGTTTACTTTTTCTTTTTAAATTTTGTTTATTTGTCTGTGCCAGGTCATGGTTGTGGCGTGCAGGATCTTTAGTGGGATCTCGTTCCCTGATCGGGGATTGAACCAAGGCCCCCTGCGTTGAGAGCATGGTGTCTGAGCCCCTGGGCCACCAGGGAAGTCCCTCCACCTCGATGTTGATTTTTTTTTTTACAAGTCAAATAACACCTTCAGTCAGTCCACCTATCTTGCCTGCAGCTGACCCGTCAGGGCCACGGGTTCCTAATGATCAAAGTACCCCATTTGTCACTCTGACCTTGCTTTTGATTATGGCGTTTACATTCATCTCGCCTCTGATGCTCAGTTGTCACCCCTTGGCCTCTGGTCCTTTGGAATCCTGTCGTCGTTCTTTTGGAATCCTGTCATCCTCCAAAAGAGCCCAATACCAGGGAGCATCTCCCATGTCAACTCAGAGCATGTCAGCTGTGCGTGCTGTGTGCTAAGTCGCTTCAGTCGTGTCCAACTCTTTGCAACCCTGTGGACTGGAGCCCTCCAGGCAAGAAGACTGGAGTGGATTTCCATGCCTTCCTCCAGGGGATCTTGCGGACTCAGGGATTGAACCCACGTCTCTTATGTTTCCTGCATTGGCAGCTGGGTTCTTTGCCACCAGTGCCTCCTGGGAAGTCCCCATGGTCAGATAGTGGGCTCTTCTTTATTTTCTCGTGATAAGTCCAATTTTAACCCTTCAACCTTCAAACCTTCAACTCATCTCTCAATATCATGCCAAGGCAGTCCCAGAACCTCCATTTAATTTACGGTAGGCCATCCTTGCGCCTAGGCTTCCAGGAACCATCCCAACATTTAAGGACCATCTTCAGGTGTCTGTGCCAGGATACTAAGCCACCAGTTTACAGGAGAGTGTTTCTTGGTTGAAAAGGTCTCTTCAGTCCAGCCTGACACTCACCGCATCAACCCTTCTTCACCCACATGTTCTCCATCCCATCTGTACAGAACAGTGGAAGCTGAAAGTCCTTTAGTACAAAGCTGTTTCCTACAAGAGCAGGGACTCTCGATAGGAAATTTCCCTGCAGGCTTGCTGAGCCCTGGCCCTAATTATCAGCAGGGGTGGAAGGATTTTGAGGAAGGGGAGCATCACCTTACGAGGCAGCTGACTAGGTGAGCTCTTTGCAGGTCTCCAGGCAAGAAGGGGCAGCTCCCGAAAGAAGGAGCTGCTTTGCGGTCAGAAAGTTCAGGGGTGTTGGGAGTTCAGGGCTGTGGGGCTTGTGCGCTAGTGTCCCTGTGGCGAATCTCAGGGCCACTGCATACGGGTAAACTCCCCACACCTCCAGGAGTCCCACCCTTGGGTGCCAGGAAACTCCATCCCGGATGGGTACTGTGTAATTCTCCTGGTCGGTAGTTCTGCTTGTAGCTCATAAGGCAGAGGTGAGAGAATTGTGAAGTGGTGCACAAAATGTGTCCGGAGCAAGCATTTTCCACAGGACTTTATTGACGAGGTGAGGTCAGAGAAATACTTCATTTAAACCCAGAACTTCCTGTGTGACAGATACATTCATAGCAGTCACAGAAGGCCAGATATCTTCAGGTGTCTCCAACCCCCAAAGATGGATTAAGTCTTGAAGAGAGCAGTACTGAACTAGAATCAAACACGGTTGTTTAGTCATCTAGTGGCAAAAATAATAGTGGTTATTGAAAGCTGGCATCTGTATGCATTCTAGATTATTGTTGTTGAGTCCTAAGTTGCGTCCAACTCTTTCAAGACCCTATGGACTGTGGCCCGCGAGGCTTCTCTGTCCGTGAGATTTCCTAGGCAAAAATAATGGAGTGGGTTGTCCCCATGCATTATAGATACATGCCTTATCTCATTTCTCTAAAATAGTGTTTTTATACATGATCTTATTTAATTTTCAAAAAATTTTTATCAAGTTGGTAATATATCCAAGAAGTAGCTGATACTCAGAGAAGTTAAGTAGCTTCTCTACAGTAAAATAACCAGTAAGGGATGGATCTAAATTTATCTGACTCTAAAATGTTAACCAGCTAATTTTTTTCACTGGAGTAGAGTTGCAACCAGCTGATTTTTAACAGCTCTGTTAATACCCAACAAAACCCTGAAAATTTAGAATATACCAGTGAGAATTTTTTATACACATGTAGATAATTTCTGAAAAAGGAGCAGCACAACAAACCAAAGATGTTCTAAAACATCATTTTTTAAAAAGTTGAAAGCAATGTGATGATTTTTAAAAATTGCAATAAGCTACATTTAGGAAAAAAAAATAAGAAAAAAAAAGTCAATCTACTCTCTTGGTCTTAAGCTCTTGTTCCATAGGATCTTCTCACTGTGACTGGCATTCACCAAGATGGCCCCAGGACCATGGAGAAGGGCACCCGCTCTAGGCAGTCTTTCTTCAGCCCTTGGTAATTACAGAATAAATTTGAGACTACCATCCTGAAATATTACTTTTAAGGAAACTTCTGATTTTGGAGTACTGCTGGCATTGCTGAGAGTGATAACTAAAAAGATCCTATTACAACTTGTTATTTGGGGGATTACATAGAATGTGTTTCAGTAACAAGGTGAGGCAGGCATAGGGGACAGTTGATCTGGCAGGAGCTGGCTGTTGGACAGTAGAAACCATCATTATCACACTTGCTTCTGCCACCTCCAAGAGGAGCAGCTTGCCCAGCAGTTTGAGAGTGTGGTGATGGGATCTGCCTTCTTTGGGGTCCGCATCCCTGGTGGGTAACATCCTTGCTTTTACTTGAGGAAGAAGGGGGAGGGTGGGAAGGCACTCAGCATGGTTTCTCGGGGGAATGGAGGAGGAGGGGGCAGTCTGTCCAGCTGATCCTCAGCCAACAAGCACTCCCAGCAGTAGCTCCCTGTTAGACAACTCATCCTCGTGGACCTTGGAGAGAGCTCTTCCCATCCCGGTTCTCTGCTCATTGATGTTTCTTCCTTTCTGGCAGGATTTCCCCCTTTTGACTGGACAGCAGCCTCACCAATTTAACTCCTTTTGTAATATATAGAAAATCATACCCTTTAGTGGATAAAGGGGTCTGAGAGATGTCACTGATGAGTGTATCCCAGGAATGTCGAAAGTGTGTTTGTGAAGAGCTAGTTTCTGCTGTTTCTGTCACTTTAGCATCAACGCTAGTTTATTGGGCATTTTCTTTTTTCTTTTATTTGTGTGTTTATTGACGTGAAGTTGACATACAGTCATGCGCTAGTTCAGATGTTCAGCACCCTGATTCAGTTATATACAAACACACACACACACACATTCTTTTCCAGGTTTTTTTCCCTTTATAGGTTATCACAAAATATTGAGTATAGTTCTGTGTGCTCCCAGTAGATCCTTGTTGATTCTCTGTTTCACATACGGCAGTGTGCATATGTGGGGGCTTCCTCGGTAGCTCAGCTGCTAAAGGATCCGCCTGCAGTGGAGGAGACCCCGGTTTGATTCCTGGGTTGGGAAGACCCCCTGGAGGAGGGCTTGGCAACCCGCTCCAGCGTTCGTGGGCTTCCCTCACGGCTCAGACGGTAAAGAATCCACCTGCAATGCGGGCGACCTGGGTTCGATCCCTGGGTCAGAAAGATCCCCTGGAGGAGGGCGTGGCAACCCACTCCAGTGCTCTTGCCTGGAGAACCCCATGGACAGAGGAGCCTGGTGGGCTGCAGTCCATGGGGTGGCAGAGAGTCGGACACGACTGAACGCCTAAGCCCAGCACAGTGGTATATGCTAATCCCAGACTCCTAGTTTATCCTCCCCACCTTTCCCTTTTGGTAACCGTAGGGAAAACCGTTTGTTTTCTGTCTGTGAGTCTGTTTCTGATTTGTAAATAAGTTGATTTGTATCATTTTTTTTAAGATTCTACATTTAAGTGATATCATATGATACTTGTTTTTCTCTGTCTTACTTCACTCAATATGACAACCTATAGGTCCATGCATGTCGCTGAAAATGGCATTATTTTGGCTTTTTTTTAAATGACTGAGTAATATTCCATTGTATATATATGTACCACACATCTTCATTATGTATTCATCCATCGATGAACATTTAGGTTACTTTCATGTCTTGGCTATTGTGAATAATGCTTCAGTGAATATTAGGGTATTTATATCTTTTTGAATTATGGTTTTCTCCAGATATATGCCTGGAATGGGATTGCAGGATCATATGGTAGCTCTATTTTCAGTTTCTTGAAGAACCTCTGTACTGTTCTCCATACTGGCTACACCAGCTTGCCTTTCCCCCAGCAGTGTAGAAGGGCTCCCTTTTCTCTACACCCTCTCCACCATTTATTATTTGTAGACTTTTTGATGATGACCATTCTGACTGGTGGGGTTTCCCTGGTGGATCAGATGGTAAAGAATCTACTTGTAGTGCAGGAGACCTGGGTTCCATCACTGGGTTGGGATGATCCCTTGGAGAAGGGAATGGCAAGCCACTCCAGTATTCTTGCCTGGAGAATTCCATGGACAGAGGAGCCTGGTGGGCTACAGTCCATGGGGTCACGAAGAGTCAGACACAACTGAGCAACTAATACACTCACACACACGTTCTGACTGGTATGAGGTAATACCTCATTGTAGTTTTGATTTGAATCTCTCTAATAATTAGCCATGTTGACCATCTTTTCATGTGCCTTTTGGCTATCTGCATTCTTTTTTGGAGAAATGTCTACTTAGGTCTTCTGCCCATTTTTGATTGGGGTGTTTGTTTTTTTTTCATATTAAACTATATGAGCTGTTACTGTATCTTGGAGCTTAATCCCTTGTAAGTTGCATCATTTGCAAATATTTTCTCCCATTTTGGAAGTTGTCTTTTCATTTCGTTTATGGTTTCCTTTTGCTGTGCAAAAGCTTTTAAGCTTAATTAGATCTCATTTGTTTGTTTTTGTTTCCATTACTGTAGGAGACAGATCCAAAGAGATATTGCTGCAGTTTATGTCAGAGAAGGTCCTACTGTTCATTTTCTATGTGCCATCACTGTCCCAAACTTTTATCACCTTGTTCTCTGAAGGTTATGCTAGTTTTTAATTGATGTGTAGTTGATGTACAATATTGTCTGTTACAGGTGTACAATGTAGTGATTTGTCATTTTTAAAGGTTGTACTCCATTCATAGTTATTGTAAAATATTGGCTCTGTTCCTTGTGCTGTAGAATATATCCTCATTGCTTATCTATTTAATACAGTTTATTTATTATCTTATCTTAATCTCTTATCTATTTAATACATAGCAGTTTATTGCTCTTAACCCCTTACCTCTGTTCTGCCCCGCCACTTGCCCCACTGGTAACCACTAGTTTGTTCTCTGTGAGTCGGCTTGTTTTTGTTACACTCACTGTTTTGTTGTAATTTTTAGATTCCACATCTAAGTTTGAGTCTCACAAGCGCCATCTGAGATCATTGTTTTATTACCTCCATTTTACAGTGGAGGAGACTGAGGCTTGGAGGCTTATTAGATGATCTGTCCCAGCATCATGCGTTCAGCAGATGAAAGTCAAATCCACGTCTGATTTCAGTAACTCAGTCAAGTTATTGAGTCGTAAGTTGATGTTCTTTAGAATTGTTACAATTCACATATCATAAAATTCACTCTTTTAAAGCATACAAATTAGTGGTTTTTATTATATTCAGAAGGGTGTACAACCATGACCAGTATCTAATTTCATCACCTCAAAGAGAAACCCCAGACTCACTAACAAGCCGCTCCCCTGGCTTCTCTCTCCCACCTCCTCTTGCAAGCAGTCTATTTCCTGTCTCTATGGATTTGCCCGTCCTGGACGTTTGGTATAAAGACTAGCGTACACATGTGACGTCTGGTGTCTGGCCCTGCTGGCTCAGATGGTAAGGCATCTACGTGCAATGCAGGAGACCCTGGGTTCAGTCACTGGGTCAGGAAGACCCCCTGAAGAAGGGAATTGTTGCCCACTCCAGTATTCTTGCCTGGAAAATGCCATGGACAGAGGAGCCTGGTGGGCTACAGTCCACGGGGTTGCAGAGAGTTGGACACGACTGAGTGACTAACATTTTTTCCATTTACTTACCTTAAGGTTTCCAAAGTCCATCTATGTTATATCAGACGTCCGTGGTTCGTTCCTTTTTATGCCTGAACAGCGTTTCATTGTATGGTTATGTACCGCATTTGGTTTGTCCATCCACCAGCTGATTGACGTTTGAGTTGTTCCCACTTTTGGTGATGAATAATGCTCAGGTGGCGCCTGTATGACCTCACTGGGCTTTTACTTGAAAACTTGTCTTCTTCTCAACATAGGGAATAAAACACAGCAGTTTCCGAGGCAGTGTCTGGAAGGCTTCATAGCGTGGAGAGGCAGGCTCTCCGTGGAGCTCTGTTACTGTGGTGATGGCCGTGTCCAGTGGAAAGCAGGCTGTGAACCGCTGAGTCTCCGCGTGTGTCTGGAGGGCACCGGGTTTACATGGTAATGATCATTATGTGTCCATTTCCCTTTCATCTCCCGTCACTGGAATACATTCACGTGCTTTTTAAGTCTAATTTGAGAAAAGCAAGTCAGGAACTAAATGAGATGCCCTTCTCAGGGTCCTCTGTCTCCCATCACTTGGGTACTTGCTGTGGGCCCAGTGGATGGATGGGCTTCCAGGTGGCACTAGTGGGAAAGAAACTGCCCGCCAGTGCAGGAGATGTGAGGCAGGGATTCAGCCCCCTGGTCGGGAGGATCCCCTGGAGGAGAGCATGGCAACCCACTCCAGTGTTCTTGCCTGGAGAATCCCACGGACAGAGGAGCCTGGTGGGCTGCAGGCCGTGGGGTTGTAAAAGAGTCAAGACGCGACTGAGGCGACCTGGTACGCGGGCACGCGGTGGGTGGGTGGTTTGTTGCTCTGTGGACGGGGCGAGGCTGCTGTCGCCCTAAACAGGAGGGCAGCCCTGTGTGGGGTCCGCCTCCTTGCTGGCCATTTTCCAGTTAATGATACTTCGGCAGCGATTGTTCTTTCTCAACATATTTATTTAAAAAATAGCAAAACTGAATCAGAGTTACAGGTTTATTCTTTTTGCGTGGCTTGTTGACAGCATGGGCTGCTTCTCAGTGGTGAGAGAAGCCCGGCTCCCAGCAGTCCTGCGTCACACAGACCAAGAGGGCGTGTTTGAACATGGGAGAGACGCATAGAAACGTCTGTTACAGTGGAACATACGTTTGTGCACATAGGACCCAGTGATTCCATTCTAGGTAAACGTGTGTGTGTGGAGTCTCCTGAAGGGACGAGTGTAAGAAAGTTTATAGCAGCACTGTTTTCAATGCACTATGCAAAAGCTCGTCAGTAGAAGAATGGATACATGAACGGTGGGATATTCATTCCCACGGTGGAATGTAATATATGTCAGTGAGAATGAAAGGAGTGTAACTACAAGCAGCAATGTGGAAGAAGCTCACAAATGTAGAGTGAAAGGAGCCAGGCAAAAAGGAATGCGTGAGCAGAATATGAGGTTCAAAAATAGGCAGGACTAAGCTTCACATTAAAATTCAGGACAGTGGTTCCCCTTGGGGTGGGGGGTGGCCAGTGGTCAGAAGCGGCATGAGCAGGGCTCTGGGAGGCTTTGCTAATTTATTTTCTTGACTAAGCTGTTATTCACACAGGTCTGTTCTGTTTTTTCCACCACCGCCCCCCGCCTCAACACTGATCAGGACTTTATTTAAAAATTAGTAAACAACACTGTAGAATCATTGATATGTAAATTTATAAAATCCTGCATCTTAAATTTAGTTGGCAAAGACCAGTTAGTTAGTGGCTCAGTGGGAAAGAACCCACCTGCCAATGCAGGAGACACAGGAGATGTGAGTTCGATCCCTGGGTCAGGAAGAGCCCGTGGAGGAGGAAATGGGAACCCGCTCCAGTACTCTTGCCTGGAAAATCCCATGGACGGAGGAGCCTGGTGGGCTGCCGTCCATGGGGTTGCAGAGTCAGACATGACTGAGCATGTGCATACAACTTAGCCTACACAGTTAGCTAAGGCACGAGTTTAGTCTTCCCTGTAGAAACCAGATACTAAAGTGTAAAGAAAAAATCTTCCTCTTGTTTGAAAATACCAGTTTAAGCAGAGGACTGTAAAAATGCGTAGATGTTTAAAAGAATTGACTGTACAGGAGTACTCCCCTTTCACATTATTCCTTTTAACTTCGTATGCGAGTTATTGGTTATGCTGTAGAATTTAACCGTCACAATGTTAAAAGGTAACTGCTTAGGGAAGAGGCAGAAAAAGGAATGCATGTAAGGCAATATTTCTGTTAGGTACAATGAACATAATAGTGTTTTCAGAAGGCAAGATAAAAATTACTCAAGGCTAGCTTGTTTCTCAGAGAAGGCGATGGCACCCCACTCCAGGACTCTTGCCTGGAGAATCCCATGGACGGAGGAGCCTGGTGGGCTGCAGTCCATGGGGTCTCGAAGAGTTGGACGCGACTGAGCGACTTCCCTCTCACTTTTCACTTTCATGCCTTGGAGAAGGAAATGGCAGCCCACTCCAGTGTTCTTGCCTGGAGAACCCCAGGGACGGGGGAGTCTGGTGGGCTGCCGTCTGTGGGGTCGCGCAGAGTCGGCCACGGCTGAAGCGACTTAGCAGCAGCAGCAGCAGCAGCTTGTTTCTCTCTGAACAAAAGCAACAGGCTAAACACAGAGCTCCTGCGTGAATCTAATCACCAGTGCCTTGGCCACCACTTTGGTGCTCTCCGGGGTAGTCATCTCGGTGCTCACTATGAGTATTCGCCGGGTGTCCTGCCTGATAATCACCGTCACTGATTTCCGACTCGCCGGTCCCTACTCCTTGGCTTCTGCTGCGGGTGACAGGTTCTGTGCGGGCAGCACGTACTCTTGCCGCCCAAGTCCATACACACTCATTCCTTTCTGGGAAGCGACTTTGTTGGTACCTGCCTGAGGAAAGATTGTGCAGTTGCCCACGGGTTGTAATGTTAGCATCTAGATGTCCCTTTGGGTACCCAGTGCTAACATTCCTGCCTGCCTGGCTCCTTTGTTGGTGCCCGTTTGCAGACTAATTGTTGTCTGATCCAAAGGTTTGCCAGTTTGCACTTGGGGATCACAAAGATGCCTCCTCGTCCCATAGGCTGTCTTCCCTACTCGCCTGGCGCATTTGTTGGCTCCCATCTACAAACCGGTTTACACTTTGGCTAGCTTTTAATTTTCCTTCATCAAAACATCTTGTTTTTCTGCATACTTAGCTCCAATGTCGATGGTTGTGTGGAATCCTTTTGTTTTGGTCAGGCCTTCTAGGGCCATGAGCATCGTCTGAACCTCGGTGCTGTTTCCTTTCTCTGGAAGGTCATGTGCTTGAAATAGGCCATGTGGCTTCATGCTGTGAGCTTGATAGCTTTAATCAAGTTGCAGTGCTCTCCCAACGAGGCCAGGTTAATGAGGACTCATGGATCTTCCCCGAGTCTGGCTGCAGCTTGTTCATGAGCTCACAGAGGGTTATGCCACCTTTTACGTCCAGCCAGTGCTCATCCTGTCACCTCTTCTGGCCAACAGCGAAGGTCTTCTTCTGCCCGGTGGTCACACTGGGAAGCAGCCCTGCTCTTGACCTCGGCCTCGAGCCCGTAGGAACGGCGCTTGTTGAAGTGGGTCATGGTGACTCCGGTGACGGCGGAAGGCTGGGTTCGGGCCTGGGGGTTCTCGCTCTCGGCTCCCCTGCTCCTGGCCCTGAGGAGGGGCTGCAGCACAAGGTGCTCGGCGCTCGCTCCCCTGGCTGGCGCAGGCGTCGCTGGGCCCCGGGCGGCGCGATGCGGGCCGTGCCTCGGCTGCTCAGCTGATCAAGGTCCTGCAGAGCCTCCGGGTCAGCTCCGGAGTCTCGCACCAACTACGTCTGTTCTGTTTTTTAAAGTTCAACATGCTGCACACCTAAGCTTTGTACACTTCTTTGGTAAATTATACATTTAAAATATAGAACGTAATACATGCGTGCATGCGTGCTCAGTCGCTTCAGTCCGGTCCAGCTCTTTGTGACCCTTCAGATGGTAGCCCTCCAGGCCCCTCTGTCCATGGGATTCTCCAGGCAAGAAGACTGGAGTGGGTTGCCATGCCCTCCTCCAGGGGATCTTCCCGACCCAAGGATCGAACCCACATCTCTTCCATCTCCTGCGCTGGCAGGCAGGTTCTTTACCACTGGCGCCATCTGGGAAGCCCATAAAGTGTAATGTGTGTGTATATGGTTACATGTGAATAGATTCATATACATACTTGTTATCAGGTTTTCTCCACCTCTAGTTTTCATTCTAAAATAAAATGTTGTAGGGACTTTCTTGGCGGTTCAGTGGTTAAGATGCCTCACTTCCAATGTACGGGGCACAGGTTCAATTCCTGGTTCAATCCCAAATGCCACGCGGAACGCCAAAAAATAAAACATTGTTAAACATGATACAGACTGTGGGAGTGTGATAAGTACCTCCCATCAGAAGGAATCCCTGCGTTCATTCCACAGATTCTGGGCCGGGTGGGTGGCTCCTAGCCTGGGAGGGAGTGGGAGGGGGGCTGGATCGGCAGCGCCCCACGTCCCCGTCCGCGGTGCATCCTCTCCGGGATGCTGCCTGTCTCCTCACGTCCCTGCTCCTCTGTTCCTCCCTCCCGCCTCCCCACCGTTACCCTTCTTTTCCCCTCTGTTGCCTTCCCCCCGCCATGCACCTTGTTTTGATGCTGGCTGTGGACGATCATCGAGAGGCCATCTGCCTGAAGTTGGAGACTGCACAGTACTTGCCTCGCCCGGTTTTGGGAGAAGCCCTGGAGAAGGGCTGTTAGGAGAGGAACCGTGACTCCGGAGAGAGTCTGTGGATTCTTTCCAGGGGCTGGGTCCCAGGCCCCTGAGAGCAAGGAAGAGCCAAGCCCGCGAGTGGAAGCTCCACCACCAAGCGTCCTGAGACTCAGGCTTTGCCGAAGAGAGAGCCCGGCCTCGCGCTCTTGGAGGCCGTGAGAAGGCGGAGGGCCCAGGCTTCACCGGACCCTGGCACAGAGGGCCTCACACGGTCTCGTTCCTCAGGTCACCCATCTCCTGACGACTGCTGAAGCTCGACTCATTAAACATAGTTCCATTAGGGAAATAACCTGACAATACTAATGAGAAAATCCCGCGAGACACAACTATTTTAAGATGGTTTTAAATTCTTGGAAATGAGTATCTCTGGGGCCAGTTCTCGGCGTATAATAAGCAAGTCAAGGTGACTGTCGTTCCGCTGCCTTCGCCGTCGGGACCCCTTCTCCCCGTAAAGAGGAGACACAATTTTATTTTCGAAGAATGCACCATGGCTGGTGGTGATGACAATGTGGTATGTTACCGTGGGCTGTAATTATGGGCGACAGACTTCCGTGGAGCGGACTTGTTCATGGTTCATTTGTGGCTAAAACTTACAATATGAACAGTCACCAATTTGAGAGAAATTCTCAGCTGGGAAATGACCTGAAATAACCAGGCTGGGGGAGAGGCTGGCGGGAGGGAAGCTGACTCCCAGCGGGACCCTCCTGGGTAGCCCGCCTCTTCCTCAGTGGTCCTCGCCTTCCTGGGGGTCGGAGTCCCCAGGTGGAATGTGTCTTCTTGAGCCGTGGGCTGTGCACGTGTATGTGTGTGAGGACGCGAGGACGGGGGGAGCTGCAGAGCCTCCAGGCTCCCGCTCCACCTAAAGTCCTGATTCCCCTCGTCTGCGGAGAGCTCCCAGCAAAGCTCTGTGCCCGAGCCAAACGCTGCATCATGCCGTGTGCTGAGCAAGGCCACGGGACCTCCCTGGGGCAGCCCGCGGGAACTCTTAAGGAAAGGTGAAGGTGTGAGAGATGCAGGAAGGACTCTAATTAGCAAGTTTATTCTCCAGTAGGCTTCATACACGCACACAGGCCACCTGCCTGAGTGCTCACGCTGTGTGAGTACTGTGCTAAGTGCTTGCCAGCCACGCCTACAGCACGCAGTGGTCGTTATGTGGAGTTGCTAAGTTGTGTCGACTCTTTTGCAACCCCGTGGACTGTAGCCCGCCAGGCTCTTCTGTCCATGGGATTTTTCAGGCAAAAATACTAGAGTGGGTAGCCATTTCCTCCTCCAGGGGATTTTCTCAACCCAGGGATCCAACCTGCGTCTCCTGCATTGGCAGGCATTTTCTTTACCGCTGAGCTACCTGGGAAGCCTGTGAGGTCAGCATCTACCATTTTTCCCCGTCTTACAGTCGAGGGCATGAAGGCCCAAGGAGGTTCTGTAACTTGCCCAGAGTCACGTAGTTGGCTCTGGGGGTGGAGGGTTTCCATAGACCCTCTTCTCCTCTTGCTTCTTCCCGTCCTGCTCCCACCAGGAGGAATCAGAAGGAAATTGAGATGAGGGGGCCAGGTGTGGAGTGGTGCAGGCCGTGGTGTGTGTGCAGCACCGGCCTTTTCAGACCAGTGGTGATGGGCGCTGTCACCATCAAACCACATCTAACCGTGACATGCTGCTGAGAGCTGCACCTTTTAAGAAGAGTTTTGGACATATATAAATATAAAGAAGAAAACCAACAAGGATCTACTGTATAGCACAGGGAACTATACTCAATATTCTTTTGTGTGTATGTGTATATATATATATATATATATATTTAATATCTTGTGTTTGTGTGTGTGTGTAACTGAATAACGGTGCTGTGCACCCAAAACACACTCTACGTTGTAAATCAACTATACTTCAATGCAAAAGTAAGTAAAGATAAAAAGTTATTGGAGAAAGCTGTGTGGGTTAAAGGTGATAGGCGTGGGGGAGGGTGGCATGCATCATAGCATCTGGAGTTTCTAGGATCAGATGGACAGTATGGTCAGAAGTTCTTCATTGAGGGTCTTCTCTGGCTGTCCAGTGGCTAAGACTCCAAGCTCCCACTGCAGGAGACCTGAGTTTGATCCCTGGTCAGGCAACTAGATCCCACCTGCTGCAACTAAGACCCAGCTCAGTCAAATAAATTTTTTTTTTTTAAATGAAATACTTCATTGGCAGTATCATTGCCTAAACCAGGACCCCTGCGATGAAAACCAGGTTTAGCCAAGATAAAAGCAACCATTTCTGGAGGTTCACTTAGCGGACATTGATAGAGAAGATCAATCTGTGAGTGGATGGCGGAGTTCAAATGGTAGTTCTCCCTGAAAGGTCATGGACTTGAGAGAGGGCCTATGTCCTCCAAGGAACGTAGCAGAAGAAAGCCACTGGAATTACACACTGCAGTGGTAAGTCACAGTCGGTGTTTGCTGCTGAGTACATGACACTCCCGTTAATCCCAGACTCCCCTTTGCCTTCTTTGGGGTTGTGTTTGTGGGGTTGCATTTGGACACTTCACTCCTAGCTAGCGGAACAGCTTCGTGTTTTGTTTTTTGTGTGCAAAATTGGAAACCAGCCGCCCGCCGCGGCTTTCTCTCCGTGTCTCCCGTAGGGAGGCTGCAAGGATGCAGCCTCAGTCGGCTGCTGGCCGGAGCCACCCCGGTGAGGACAGCTCTCCATCCTCGTGTGACAGCCGTTGCTTCCCGGCATCCCAGCGTCTCCCTCCTCAAAGGGCGGGTGACGGGTGTTTTATAGGAGTATGTCCTCAGAAGAACACTCTCAGCCCCTGGAACCTCACTGTCCCTCAGACAGCAGTGAGGGACCCCTTGGCTGCAGTGTCACTTATACATGTTGAAGTGACATAATGGAGTCCTGGCTTTTGGCCAAGAAGGTATGGATGTGTGTGAGTGACTTTAAAAAAAGAAGCACAGCCTGTGATGTTGATTGACCCAGACAGGCCATTGGTAAAGAGTTACTAAGCATCCATTATGTATAAGGCACTTGTACTCATTTCCTGCGGCCACTGTAACAAATTACCACAAGCTAACTGGCTTCCGACAACAGAATTGATTCTCCCATGTTCTGGAAGCCTGAAGTCTGAAATCAAGGCGAAATCTTCTGAGAAGGACACCTAGAATCAGGTTTGAAGGATAAGGAGGAGTTTGGGAAAGATCTAAAGGTCATTCTAAGCAAAAAGAACAGGATGGTGCTTTCAAGGTGACCTGAGCACCCTTGTGGCCAAGCGAAGGTACAGGATGGGTGGGTGGATGGGTCAGAAGACGTGGTGCAGACGGGCTGAGACCAGGCCGCGCATGGGTTTGTGCATCCCTGAACTTTGTGGTGGGGGATGTGAGTCGCTGAGGATTGTAGCAGAGGGAAAACGCACTCACGTTTGTGCCGTGCAGAGCGCATTCTGCCACCAGTGATCACAGACACCGAGGCGGGGTAGGGAATTGAGGCCGGGAGGCCAACGTGGCAGAAGAGCTCCACCTGCAGACTTCAGCCCTGCAGACTCCAGCCCTGCAGACTCCACGCCCCGGATGGTTGGTTCACACGAAACTATCTTTGTCAAGAGGAGAGGTCCGCAGACAAGGCAAAATAATGGGCACCAAAGGCCCAGACCCTAACCACCTAGCAACCCCCATCACCCAGCAGACCCCACCACCCAGCAACCCCCATCACCCAGCAGACCCCACCACCCAGCAGACCCCTGCCCAGCAGACCCCACCACCCAGCAGACCCCTACCCAGCAGACCCCACCACCCAGCAGACCCCTGCCTGGCAACAGGCAGGGTGTCCATGGCTCCTGCGGCGTTGCAGCTTGGCTGTCTGTGCTCCGACTTTGCCATCTTGAAACAGCTGGAGGAGAAGGCTGAGTTTCTCATGACTCCCTTTCTTCTGAAACTAATACATCAGAAGGGAGCTTACCTGAAGTTGGCTCAGTGGCCACTAAGAGGAGAGAGAATTTGACCACTGTTGGCTCAGTGGCTCTTTCCTGAGAGTCAAGCTTAAGTAATCCTACCAACTCTCTGGTCAGGTTGGGCTGACCTCTACACAGTTATCTTTTATCCAAGATACATTTCAGGCCGATGTATACTCACTCTGTGAATCCTGAGTTAGTCTGGCTTTGGCTTCTAACCAGTTCCCAGGCAAAAACCCATCTACAGAGGCAGATTCTGTTAGGCAAGCAAAAGCTTATATCACCTCTTTCATCCCAACTTCTCAGTTTAGAAGAATTTCAGGAAGCACCTTCAGCATCCAGCTGGAGACTACTGTGACAGTTCAGGTGAGAAATGACGGCAGGCTGAGTGAAGGCCATGGCAGTGTGGCTGGAGATGAAAGAACAAGTCAACAGCAGTTAAGCGGTGACCATACAGCCATGTTTAATGTTTACCGAGCACTTTGTGCGTGCCAGGCTGGGATAGCCTGTGTGTTATCTCATTCAACCTTTGCAACAACCCAAGCAGGTAGGGATTATTATTCTCTCTGCTTTATACACGAGGAAGCGGGCTTAGAATCAAGTAGCTAATCTGCCCATTTTAAGTGGCAGAACTGGGATTTGAGCCCAGGAAATCCGACTTCAGAGCTTGCATTTTATTATTTTTTTTAAATGTTTATTGTTTGGTGTTAATGGATGCGTCAGATTTTAGTTGCAGCATCTTTGTTGTGGCATGTGGGATCTTTCGTTGCCGCCTGCAGACTTCTCTCTAGTTTCAGTACCTGGGCTTAGCTGCCCTGCGGCATGTGGGATCTTAGTTCCCTGACAAGGGATCGAACCCACCTCCCCTGCATTGCAAGGTGGATTCTTAACCACTGGACCACCAGAGAGGTCCCCAGAATTTGCATTTTAAATCTCTGTCTTACTGTCTCAAACCAGGAGGATCTGTTAAGTTGTTGGATGTGGGGGTGGGGGAGACACCTAAGACGAGAGGGGGGTGGTTCCAGATGAGGGAAGCGGGCGGACAGATGGAAGGCGGGGCCCCTCACCGAAAAGGGGCCACAGGGAGAGGAGCGGGCTTGGACAGAAGAACGGTGGTCTGGCCGTTGGCATGTTGATGGGGAGCATCTGAGTAAGATGTCTGTTAAATGGCTGGGTGTCTAAAAAAAGGGAGCTTTAGGGAGTGACTGAGACGAAAGAAGCTTTGGAGCGATCCGTTTCTAGGCAGCGGAAGGGCGTGTGGGCTGCAGGGGCGGCGGCTGGGTCGGCACTGAGATCTTCTAGAGGGGAAATGAGCAGAGAAGACAAACGGGACAGAATCTCAGGAGCCGCAGCACTTAGGCGGCCAGTGAAAGAAGAGCCCTCGGATGAAGAAGTAGTCCGCGGATGGCAGGAGCACGAGAGAGTGGGTCACGGAAGCTGGTGGAGGAGGAAGGGTGCTGAAGGAGGGATGGGAGCGGTGTCTGATGCAACAGAGAAATCACGTAACGTGAGGGCTGAAGGCTACCCTCGCGCTTGGCAGCTAGGCAATGTAAAACCAGCTGCTGCAGTGCAGATTATCGCAGCCCCTTTGGAAGGCACTACAGCAGTTTCTGGGCTTCCCAGGTGGCGCTGGTGGGAAAGAACCCGCCTGCAAATACAGGAGACTTAAGAGACGCAGGTTCAGTCTCTGGGTTGAGGAGATCCCCTGGAGGAGAGCGCGTCCTCTTGCCTGGAGAACCCCATGGACAGAGGAGCCTGGAGGGCTCCAGCCCGCAGGCTCACACACAGTCGGACATGACGAAAGCAACTTGGCATGCAGCACATCAGCTTCTGACAGCTGCACACTGTCCTGCCGTGTGGTTCAGCAGTTGTCTTCCTTGGCATTCACCCAAATGGGAGGGAGACTTAGGTGCACACAGAAGTACGCATGCAGAGTTTTTAAATTGAAATATAGTTGACATATATATCAGTACTGTGTTAGTTTCAGGTGAACTACACAGTGATCTGACATTCACACACCTTGTGAAATGATCAGCACAATAAATCTGGTAACCATCTGTCCCCATACAAAACTATTACAATATTATCGATGATATTCCTTATGCTGTATATTACATCCCTGTGGCTTTTTTGCCCTTGGATGTTTATAGCAGCTTTATCCCTCATTGTGAAAACTTGAAAGCAACCAAGATGTCTTTTAGTAGGTGAATAGATAAACTCTGGTACATCCATACAATGGAATATTATTCAGCACTTAAAAAAAAAAGAGTTATCAAGCCATGAAAAGACAGGGAGGAACCTTAAATGCACATTACTAAGTGAAAAGAGCCAGCCTGGAAAGGTGACCTATTGTATGATTCCAACTATACGACATTCTGGAAAAAGCAACACTTTAGAGACGGTAGAAGGATCAGTGGTTGTCAAGGGTTGGGGAGGGAGGGGTGAGTGGTGGAGCGCTAATCCAATGAAGCTGTTGTGTGAGACACTCTCATGGTGGGTATGTGTCATTGTACATTGTGCAGACCCGAGCACCCGTACAGCCCAGGGTGAACGCTATACAAACCATGGGCTTTCGTTAAGGAGTCAACACTGACTCATCAGTTATAACAAATGTACCACACTAATACAAGACGTTAGTAACAGGGGACACTATGGTGAGTTCAAGGGCCAGAGTGTGGGTTAAGAGCTATAAGGAACCTCTTTATGCTTTCTGTTCAATTTTTCTATAAACCTAAAACTGCTCTAAAAAGTAAAATGTATTAACTAAAATTGAAAGAAAGAGGAAATGCAAAAGAAATAAAAAAAAGCAAAGTAGAAGAGAAAGCTGTATACATACAGTCTTGAGAGTGTAGCATGAACCCGTAATTGTGACTAATCCAATTCTGTGTGTTTGAGTTCCAAGCTGTACACAGATCTGACCAGTCTCTCTTCTTACCGACATCTAGGGTTCCCATCACGCATGCAAGTTACAGTCCAGTGTCTTTGGCATGATGTGAAAATTTTTCCACAGCCTGACTTTGCAGTGTCATCTGTGGTCTTTGCCTGTGTGTTGTAAGCTCCAGCTGCAGCGCCTCTCTTTTTATATATGTGTATTTTTATTTTGTATTTTGGCTGCGCCCGGTCTTAGCTGCAGAAGGCGGGGTCTTCAATCTTTGATGTCTGCAGCATGGGTGATCTAGTTCCTTGACCAGGGATCGAAGCCAGGCCCCCTGCATTGGGAGCGTGGAGTCTTAGCCACTGGACCACTGGGGAAGTCCTGAAACAAGTCTCTTTGCTCCTCTTTCCTACACTCTCAGATGACTGCCTTCCCTCTTGCTGTTTCCTCTGCCCATGCCCTCCCCCACTCCTCTCCCTAACAAAATCCATGGTTGAGACCCAGCTCAACCATGACCTTCTCTCTGAGCACGTTCCTGACCTCCGTTCACCCCAGCACACCAAGCAAGAAAGCTCTCTTGCTGGGTTTCCGTAGTTCTTCGTGACTGTCTATTCAATAAATGCTTCATACACCACAGAATCAACAACCACAGCATCAGGGATGGTTTAGCAAGAAAACGGGGTAGAAAGAAGCCAGATCAAAGCAAGCTGGCCGTGGGTAAGAGCTGGCATATGGGTGCATGGCGGGTGGACTGCTCTCTGAGGCTGGTTTTATTGTCATTTGGTATTGATTGTGTAGGGTCACCTTTAGCATTTGTGGTTTTACCCAACAGAGGTTGAGGACAGCGAGAAGAAAATTCTGGGGGCAGCTATGGTGCCGTCCGGTGCTGACACACCTCTGTCACTGGAGATTGGTAATTCTTAGGGTCCCAGGAGCTGCTGTCCTCTATTTTGAGGAGGAAGAGAGAGGGAAGAACGAATCCACCCCCCATTTGTTATCTCTTGGAGGTTTTGCAGCCATAGTCTGCTTCATCTTTGGGGAAAGGAAAAAGGAAAAAGTCAGCCCCCCAAAAAACAAAACAAAAAACTAGTTGACTTAGTTGGCACCTCCTCTGTTTCTTGTGGGATCCACAGACTCCTGAAGACCAATTAATGCTTAGAAAAAGCAATTGATTATTAGCTTTTCTAGCATCTATTGAACAGACATTAAAGGCTAACTATGTTCTGGGAACTATGCCAGGCCCTGGAGATACAAGATAAACAAAATAGGGTTTCTGCTTTCAAGGAGTTCAGTGTAACCAGGAAGACCAACCTTGAGCACATGCCAGCAAATTACAGGGTGAGGGGAGCTCAGGTCTTAGTCACTAGGGCTGCCATTACAAGGTACTGTAGACTGGGTGGCTTCAATGGCAAGAATTTGTTTCTTCTTAGTTCTGTAAGCTGGAAGCCCCTGATCAAAGTCCAGCAGAGTTTGGTTCTTATAAGGATCTTCCTGGCTTGCAGATGACTGCTGTTTTTTGCTGTCCTTACATGGCGTTTCCTATGAGCATGGCTTGGAGGCAGGGGTGCAGGTGTGAAGAGAGAGAGGCGGGGGAGAGAGTGAGCATAGAGACTCTTTGGTGTCTCTCCTTATGAGGACACTAATCCTATCAGATCCGGGCCCTACCCTGAGAACCTCATGTTACCTTGCTTACGCCTGTGCTCAGCTGCTAAGTCATGTCTGGCTCTTTGCGACCCCCATGGGCTGTAGTCCACCAGGCTCCTCTGCCCATGGGATTTTCCAGGCAAGAACACTGGCGTGGGTTGCCGTTTCCTTCTCCAGGGGAATCTTTCCTGACCCAGGGATTGAACCCATGTCTCCTGCGCCTCCTGCATTGGGAGGAGGATTCTTTACCACTGAGCCACCTGGGAAGTCCCGTTTGACCTTAATTATCTCCTGACGGCTCCATTTCCAAACACAGTCACACTAAGGGTTAGGGCTTCGGTTCATGAATTTGGGGGTAACACAGTTCAGCCCATGGCAGGGCTCACAGGAAACTGTAGGAGAGCAGAGAAGCGCCTGATCATCTCCTCACAGGGGAGATGGAGCAGCAGAAGGCTTGCAAGTGGATGACACTGCATCTGGATTGTGGGGCATTTGCTATGTGATGTGAGTGCCCAGCCCCAACTTGGCACTCTGGTTATCTAGCAGCACCAGACAACCAAAAAGTAATTATCGCTGCCCTGTGTGAAAGGAGAGGTTTCTACATCACAACCCTCCTGTCAGTCACATCTCCATTCAGTGGTGTATCCTGGTACTGCCGATAGTATTTTGACATTTGTCAGCAGCTTTTCTTGATGGGGGGGTATGTCATAGGTTTCCTGAATAATATCCAGATGTCACTCAACTTTCACTGCAGCAACCTCTCTAAGCCTACTGCGGAGGTGATTCTTTGGAAAATCCAGTAAATGTCAGATTCAGGAGATAATAGTTACTGTACGTGAGCTGTTCTCAGGAAATCAGCATAACTGTTCCTTAGCCGTGATGGGCTTGCTCAGGACTTGCGTCTCCACCGCTGCCTTTTGCAGACAGCACGTGTGAACACCAGGCTCCTGAGCAAGCAGTGTTGTCCTGTCCTCGTCAACGGTGCTGTGCTGAGGCTCCCTGACTTGAGTTGGTTTTCTCAGAAGGAAGTGTCCCAGGACCTCTGAGCAGATGAACCGCTCCTCACTTTGTACCTCTGTCACATTCAGTTACGGCTCTCAGCTGGCCTCCGGCCTTTTGGGCCATCATCAAGGCTGATCAGGGCCTGATGATGGGTTTCTTCAAAGTAGGGAGCGAGTCACATGCATCTGTGTTCAAAGCTCATTGGTCCTCCAGTAGCGGTTGCAGTAACCCAGCTGTGATCACTTTTGGCTAAACTAGTATAAAGGTCTTGCATCAAAAATAGGAATGTCATTCTACCAGCATTTGGTCTCCCCAGGGAATTCATTCTCGCTGCAGCACACCAGCCATGGTTGCTAGCTATTCTCCTGCCCTTGGTGTAAGCCGAATGCTGGCCAAAGCAGAATCGGCCCCCTCTCCATAGGAGCTGCTGCCCTCGGGGGAATGGGGGCAGGGCTTTGGGCAGAAAGGGTGTTCAGAGGGTTCATGCTGACAGTCATTTTCCCATCTCCAGGACCAACAATTCTGGCTTTAGAAATGAGGGGAGAAATTAGTAATATTAGCACAAGTCAAACTCAAACCCCTCTTCCTTTCTGTGATTACTCAAGTTGGGAAGTTGGTTTTCTGCTGCTTCAACAAGTGGTCTGGAAGACGCACCTGCGATGTGGAGGGCCGCTGACAGCCCTTGAAAGAGCTCCCTGTCTTCTCCCGTCCCCTTTTCCTGCAGAGGCTCTGATCAGAGGGGGATTCTGAGACGAACTATCCGTTCGCAAACACTGGGACAGTTTCTCAGCCAGCCCAGTCTCCTCCGCTGCCGCAGTCCCTGCATTGGAACCCTCTGCCTAAAGGGCTGGGTTGGGAGAATCTCTGGGTCTCTGCCGTTCCCACAACGCGAGCATTTCCCTAACTGCTGTCCTAAAGGCAGTTCCTTACAGATTTCAACTATTCTCGCATCCTCCCTCCTTCACAGCCTGTGCACTCATCGCTGAGTGCTGCTGGAAGAATGCAGACTTCGTTTCTCTGTCGTCTGAACACCACTGACAAGCGTCCCGCCCATCTGTGACTTATTCCCCGACTCTGATCAGAGCAGTCTCACAGGTCTTCTGCTGGTGGGAGGGAGCAGGCCACAAAATCTGAAGGCCCAGGACTTTCAGAAGCTGTGCCGGGCAGACTAGAAAGCCACGAAACACTGCGTGCTGGATGGATGTCCTAGTATGCTTTTCGATGTGATCTGGTCGGTGTTGGCTGAGGAAGCTCAAGGGGAAAAGGCAGCGAGCATTGTAACGTAAATCACTGCGGACCCTTGGGCGTGACAGTGCTAGGAAGCTAATGATCTCCAGGAAAGAGCTGACCGTGATTGTTTCCAGCAACAGAACACGATGTAGAACGGGGAGGACAGACCCCCCAGATGTGAGTACAATCTCTCCTCAACACAGGGTTTGGACCAGTAGGAGCAAAGAGACTCATCTTAACTGATGGTGCTCCCTAACCAGAGTGCCTGTGGACCATCTCTAGGTGGGCTGTGAGTAATGCCTGGCTGGGACTTTTGTGTTCAGATTTCTTCTAAAATATTCTTGCCTTGTTAGGAGACTGAATGCAGTGGCTTTGAGATATCGGTACCAGGGGACCTTGTTATAAATCTTCAAGAATACCCCATAGACCTTTTGGTATAAAAAGAAAACGGATCACATCACAGACCAAGCAGCTCTGTGGCCCCCTGGCATTTAAAGAGAGACAAAAGCACTGATGAATTGGAAAGCAATAGAAAATGGGGCAGTGGGCCGGGAGGAAGGAGAGAAATCTTAGGAAGCTAAATTCCTTTCCCAATTCATGATGCTCATTGCATATTTATGATCGTGCATTTATTTCCTTTCTGCTTAAAGAACTGGCAGCTTGTTTGCATTTAAGGTTTTTCTCCTGTGAAAAACGCTGTGAAAGTGACAAAGAGGGATGTGATTGATAGACTTGGGGCAGAAATTCCTCACCGCCAGCAGTGGGAAGTGTCTTGGATAATAGCTGGTCTATTTGGGAGCGAAAGCTCACATTTAATGAGGGAATGGGGCACTGCAGCCTGGGTACCCAACAGGTAGGCAGCAACTCTTTGATTGCAGATTGCTCACCATCCCTCTCTATTCCTCTGCCCTTCCTACTCACTGCTGGGGGTCCGACATCCTCCTCACCCCTCTTGCCAGCCCAGTGCCTTCCGCCTGGTCTGATTTGTCAGTTCAGAGGCATCAGAGGAAAGGAGAGTATCCCCTCACTGCAGAAGCGTGGGGATCATTGTTCTGGAAGAGAGGTCCAGATACCGAAGATGTCGGGCAATGATCATGAGAGAGGTGGAGAGGAAAACGAGCCCAGGGTGGAGGTCACAGAGGAAGACTCGGCCGCTCTGATCCCTCCCTCCGCCCCTTTCTGCCATGTGCCAATGAAAGTGCAGGTGGATGCTGGAGGTCCTTTCAGTGAGGCGGCTGCTGGGTTTAAGTTGTGAACTTGAGATCCCCAAGGCATGGGGGTGCATCCCTGTGGGACACGGGGACTGTGCTGACAGCACAGTAGAAACCAGGGACCTGGAATTCTGCTCCTGCTTTCGCAGGCAGTTTTCTGTGCCCCTCTGGTGGTGGTGGGCAGGCTGGGGGAGATCCAAAATCCCACGAGACACCTGTCCTAGAGGCGCCCTCAGCCTCAGGAAGGCTGCGCGCTGGCTGTGGTGGAGGGGGTGGGTTGGGGTGGGGGCATTTCATTCTTAAGTAGCTGCCATTGAAATTTCTGTTTTTAATAAATAACATTTCTACTTGGCCAACATTTTCTCAGAAACGTAGTGCCTCTCCCTCTTAAAAAGAAAAAGGAATAGTAGTGTGTGCTGGATTTGTAAAGCGCTGATTACCAAAGGTAATCATGGGCTATCTCAGTAGCTTGCAACCATGGCAGTCAGGGTCCCTCACCTTTTGTCTCTGTCTGCGAGGCAGAATTTGTTGCATGGGACAGGAGGCCGTTAGCAGAGATAGGCCCGCTGACCCGTGCTTCCGTTGCTGGGGAGACAGGACGGCACTGCTGGCCTGCAGCTCGTAACCTCAGCTGACGGCCTGTGAGGAGATCTCTGTCCACAGGAGTTATTAGCTGCGGAGTGAATGGTGACATTGTAGCCATGATGATAATATTTGCATGAACTGGGAATTGTACTCGAGACTCTGAATGCTCGTCACAGGAAAGGTTTGGGAAGGTGGGGGTGGCCTCGTAGGTCGTGTGCACAGAAATTACAAGTGAGTCAATGAAGAAGAATGTGGCTGTGGGAGCAAGGGCATTTAGGAAGCCAGGGCTAATTTTCTGCATTTTCATGTCACTGGGCCCTGGAGTGCTTTCGCAGGGTTGGGGCAGACAGATCCGAAGCTCCATGTAATTTGTGTGAAGATAACACACTTTACCTGAATAAAGACAGAGAGCGTGCAGTATCCTGTGTTGACAAAAGCCACTAAAAGCCCTCCCAGACAGGGCGGCATTCTGGGAAACATGAAGCCCAAACTTCAGTCTTTCAGGGCCACCCTGGGAATTTCCAAAGGCTTTTCCACCTCCATTTCTGTTTTTCATCTCAACTTCATTCTTTCGTTGGCTTATTCATTCAACAAAGATTTCAGGTTCATTCCAGTGATTTCTGACTGTGGGTGAGGAAAGGGGTCTCCTGCTTGTACCTTCTCGAGGTTTGTTGTGCTTCTGATGAGCCTGGTGATCAGAACAGCATGGGTTTGTGAGGCTTCCTTCTGCCTCTTTCCGTGGTTTTTTTTTTCTTTTTGCGCCTTGCTTCGTGGCTTGTGGGATCTTAGCTCCCAGACCAGCCCTTGAAAGGAAAGCATCGAGTTCTGACCATTAGACCGCAAGGGAGCTCCTTTTCCTTGCTGCTCTTCAGCCACACTTTGGACAACAGATGGATGATGGAAATTTGGTCATTTGCAAGCTGAGCAGAGGCTTCCCATGTGCACTAGTGGTAAAGAACCTGCTTGCCAATGCAGGAGATATAAGAGGTTCAGGTTCAATCCCTGGATTAGGAAGATCCCCTGGAGGAGGGCATGGCAGCTCACTCCAGTATTCTTGCCTGGAGAATCCCCATCAACAGAGGAGCCTGGCAGGCTAGAGTTCATGGGGTCGTAAAGAGCTGGACACGACCAGAGTGACTTAGCACAGCACAAGCTGAGCAGGGATGAGAATAACCTTTCTGAAGTTGTACGATTCACACGTGACCAATGATTTCACATAATAAAATACTGTCTTTGGTCCCCACGGTCCTGTTGTTCTCCCGGCCACCTGGAGTGGTTGGTGACGTGGCCCACCTAGATGTCAAGGTGAAGGAGAATCAGAGCCAATTCCTTACTCTTCAGAGATTGAGAGGAGCGTGGGGTTTGCCTGGAAACCACTGTAAAGATGTCTGTACCTTCTGGGTCTTCAATATTAGAATGTGTGGTAGGGCCTTATGCTACAGTAGTTTCTTTCCATAGCCCATGTTGGTGTTTTTAAGAAGTACATTTGAAGGCAGAAGGAGGCCCATGCTTTCTGCTGTCCTGGTAGGAATGGGTCACAGAGTCTTAAGCGTTCCTCTGGCCCCCAAACCTTCACCTTTGGCATAACACCAGTGGTTTGGGTTTGCTTTAACTGTGGTGCAGGGCTCCCAGGAGGAGTCAATCTTTAAAATTCTGTTCATTTGGCATTTGGTGGAAAGATGGGGTCAGTTTACCGCTAGGACTACCCCCAGATCAGTGCTGTGAGCGCACAAACCTGTGGGCGGTTTGTGTTGGCACAACCCCTTCCTAGAGTAACTGTGCATGCTAAGTCACTTCAGTCGTGTCCGACTCTTTGTGACCCCATGGACTGTAGCCCACCAGGCTTGTCTGTCCATGGGATTCTCCAGGCAAGAATACTGGAGTGCCATGCTGTCCTCCAGGGGATCGTCCCAGCCCAGGGATCGAATCTGAATCTCTTCTGTCTCCTGCATTGGCAAACAGGTTCTTTACCATTAGCGCCCCCTGGGAAGCCCCAATAGTAAGTGTAGCATCCATTTATTGCAGCAGTTATTGGCCAGGGGATGGCCCGGGCCTGCTTCCAGCTCTCCAATTGTTCCAGAACTCAGGAACATGCCCTCTGAACAGTGAGAAAAGGATGAAGATAGAGAATGGCAGGAAATGCTGGGAGAGAGTCCATGGGTATAGTCCTGTTCTCAGGGTCTCTGTGGGCTGTGGTCCACGGGCACCCAACCGGCCAGGGGAATGGGCATGTTGGCCTTGGTGAAGCCACAGAGCACAGTCCAGAGGGCCCTTTGTGGTCACCTCAGCGTAGTTACCTGCCGAGGGGGAGCCTGGAAACCAGGCTCCGTTCAGGGGATTTCATCGGGTCTCTGAGCCCCTCTGTTATCTGCAGTTCCAGCCCTAGTGGTCAGGAGGCAGTGGGGTGTGGGGGGTGGGGGGTGAGGGGTGAGAGGTGGGAGGTGAGGGGTGGGCTGGGGTGGGCTGGTTCAGCACCCTCTTTGCCTTCCACTTGCAAGTTCAGGGTTTGCTCTGCAGGGGGTGCTTCCTGAGTGTCCCGTCTCCCCCAGCTCCCCTCCCCAGCAGCGAGCAATCAACAGAGTCCCTAAAACCAGGGCAGAGAGCGGCCTGTCCCAGGTGCTGAGTGGCACTGATGGCAGCTTTGTTCTGTAACCCCCAGGTCCCGAAGATGGCATAGTGACGAAGTCTCCTTCCGATGGTCAGCGTGTCTTTACCCGAGGGTGCCCGGGCCCGTGATGCCGTGTTGAGCCGAAGGGACTTGTCCACCACTTCCCCAAGAACGTCTTTCTCTCCTAATTCATGAGCCAGCAGGATGCGGTCGCCGCGCTTTCAGAACGCCTGCTCATAGCTGCGTACAAAGGCCAGACGGAGAATGTGGTTCAGCTCATCAACAAGGGCGCCAAGGTAGCGGTTACCAAGGTAACGCGAGAGTAAACACTTCATCCATTCCCTGGGGGAAAGCCCACGTCTTAACCATGGTCCCGTAAAACTGTTGTGTTTGGTTCACAGTCTTCAAAGTACTGGCTTCCTTCTCCTCCCTCCCCCCCAGTGATGGAGGTTTGGGGAGAAGGAAGAAGGATTTAAAATGCTTTCATTGCTGTCTTTCAAATGGAGTCACTTGTAATTAGCATTTGACCCTCTTTAAAATCACAGCAGTTCGTGGGGTCGCAGAGTCAGATATGACAGTGGGCACAAACAGCACAGAATCACAGAGTGGCCTTTTCTCACTTCTTTAGCCAAATAAACAAGAGAAGCTGGGGCACAAAAACTGACTGTGTAGAGTGTTTACGTGGGAATCACATTAAGCCTCGTGGGGAGGTTTGTGGGCAGGTCAGCCACTCCAGCCTGCAGAACCTTGTTGCTCCTGTCTGAACAATGATGGGCTTGGACCAGGTGACCCTCAACCTCTTTGGACTGATTTCACTCAGGGCAGTGGGATGCGTAGCAAGCTTTGGAGGGCACTCCTGACCCCTCACCAACAGATGACACACAGGCCCAGGGGCAGCTTTTTTAGCAAAACTGAGGTCAGGCTGACTCTGCCTAGACAGGTGCAAATCCATGGACAACATAACACCGATGGCAAAACTTAGTATTGCTCCGACTGCTGTATAGAACCTCTTAGAAGAGGTTCTCTTTGCACCCCCACTTTAGGGATGAGGAAACTGAGGCACAGAAAGATTGTAGTAACTTCAAGGCCCAGGGGCCCCCACCTGCTGATCGGCAAAACCGCAACTTGGACCCCGTCATGGCTCCAAAGCACCGCCCCCCCCCATTCCAGACCACCCAGAGAGAGATCTGGAGAGAGGCAGAGTTTCGTTTTTCAAACAGTCATGTCTGTTCACCTCTGACCTCCTGTGGCAAAGATCAGCCAGCTGGCATTTTCAGTTACTCGCGGGCAGTCTCCGTATTTTCTGCTTCTGACCTGTGCTTTCTCCAGCACCACCAGGCAGGTGACTCAGCTCTGAGGGCATCTCTCTGAAGACAGTGTCAGATCTCACGGGCTGCGGGCTCAGTCCCACGAGACACCCCGCCCCTCACACCAGCCCCTGACACCGGCTGCAAGGCCGGGTTGGCTTCTGTGCTTCTGACTGGCGAGAAATCAGAGGCTTCCATGACCCTCCTTGGGTCGAATTAACTTGCTAAAGCAGCTCGCAGAAATCAGGAAAACATTTTACTCACTAGACTCCCAGTTTATCATAAAAAGGTGCAACCGAGGAACAGCCGGATGGAGGAGCTGCAGAGGGCAAGGTGTGGGGAGAGGGCGCTGGGCTTCCTGCCCCTTCAAGCGCCCCACCCTCTCAGCAGCTCTGCCTCCGCCAGCCCAGGCAATCCCTGACCTCTGCCCTTTGGGTGTTTACGGAGGCTTCATTACATAGACGTTGACTAAATCACTGGCACTGGTGATTGACCACTGCCAGCCTCTTTCGCCTTCCTGGAGGTCAGTTCAGTCGCTCAGTCGTGTCCGACTCTTTGTGACCCCATGACTGCAGCATGCCAGGCTTCCCTGTCCATCACCAACTCCTGGAGCTTGTTCAAATTCATGTCCATTGAGTTGGTGATGCCATCCAACCATCTTATCCCCTGCCGTCCCCTTCTCCTACCACCTTCGATCTTTCCCTGCATTAGGGTCTTTTCCAATGAGTCAATTCTTCACACCAGGTGGCCAAAGTATTGGAGCTTCAGCTTCAGCATCAGTCCTTCCAGTTTCCTTTAGGAGGGACTGATTGGATCTCCTTGCAGTCCAAGGGACTCTCAAGAATCTTCTCTAATGCCACAATTCAAAAGCATCAATTCTTCAGTGCTCAGCTTTCTTTATAGTCCAGCTCTCACATCCATACATGACAACTGGAAAAACCATAGCTTTGACTAGACGGACCTTTGTTGGCAAAGTAATGTCTCTGCTTTTTAATATGCTAACTAGATTGGTCATAGCTTTTCTTCCAAGGAGCAAGCGTCTTTTAATTTTATGGCTGCAGTGATTTTGGAGCCCAAGAAAATAAAAGTCTGTCACTTTTTCCATTGTTTCCCCATCTATTTGCCATGAAGTGATGGGACCAGATGCCATGATCTTAGTTTTCTGAATGTTAAGCTTTAAGCCAGCCTTTTCACTCTTCTCTTTCACTTTTATCAAGAACCTCTTTAGTTCTTCTTCGCTTTCTGCCATAAGGGTTGGTATCATCTGCATATCTGAGGTTATTGATATTTCTCCCAGAAATCTTGATTCCAGCCTGTGTTTCATCCAGCCCAGCATTTCGCATGATGTACTCTGCATATAAGTTAACTAAGCGGGGTGACAATATACAGCCTTGACGTACTCCTTTCCGGATTTGGGACCAGTCTGTTGTTCATGTCCAGTTCTAACTTTTGCTTCTTGACCTGCATACAAATTTCTCAGAAGGCAGGTCAGATGATCCGGTATTCCCATCTCTTTAAGAATTTTCCACAGTTTGCTGTGATCCACACAGGCAAAGGCTTTGGTGTAGTCAATAAAGCAGAAGTAGATGTTTTTCTGGAACTCTCTTGCTTTTTCGATGATCCAGCAGATGTTGGCAATTTGATCTCTGGAGGTCAGGAAAGTGCAACTGAACGTTCCAACCTCCAGTGACTGTTGGTTCCTCTGGCAACCCATCCTTAGGGCTTCCCATCGCTCAGCGCTCAGTCGTGTCTGACTCTCTGCAACCCTGGGGTCTGTAGTCACCAGACTCCTCTGCCCCTGGGATTTTCCAAGCAAAATACTGGAGTGGGTTTGCCATTTCCTACTGCAGAGGATCTTCCCCACTCAGGGATCAAAGCTGCATCTCCTGCATTAGCAGGCCGATTCTTCACCACCGCACCACCTGGGAAGTCCAGGATTTTCCATAAGTTATTGTGTTAACATCAATTCAGGTGTGGTTGAAAGGGATTTATTATGAATAGCACACTCCTTTCACACTTATGGCTCTGGAGCTATTTTAAGAACTGACAGAAGACCAACTATAAGAACAAAAGATGCTCCTATTGCTCTCATCACTCAGGAAATTTCAAGGAGCTGTAAGGAGCTATAAGCCAAGAATGGAGACTAAGAGCAAATATATATTTCTTACTATAAGTCACAGTCACAACGCTGGTCTCTACAGAGAGAAAATCTTCTGCTACTGAAAGGTCTCCCGTTGGCCTAGCAGCACTCTGACCTAGGTGGTGGCAGGTGGTGTGGAATCCAGGGTGAACCTTCACTCAGGCCCCAGCATGGGCTCCCCACAGCTCTTCAAGCCCCAGGCAGTCACACGTGGGAGAAACTGCAAGAACTCTGTAGTCAGGGCACATGTGCACACATTTTAACTTTGCTGTGTTTGCTAATTGTGCACGTTGCTTACTTTCTTCGAGCCTCAATTTTCTTATCTGTAAAATGGGTATAAAAATACCAACTTTTCAGAATTATTATAATAGAAACTTATTAAAGCTCTTAACACATAGTCTGCAATTTCTTTTTTAAAAATTAAAAAGATTTTTTTGTTTATTTGGCTGTGCCAGGTCTTAGTTGTGGCATTTGGGATCTTTAGTTGTGGCACATGGGATCACGTCCCCTGACCAGGGATGAACCCAGACTCCTAGACCGGGAGCTCAGAGGCTTAGCCACTGAACCACCAGGGAAGTCCCTGCAAGTTCTCTTTTTTAAACAGACTTCTTTTGCTCTTTAAAGAGCAGCTTTATTGAAGTATAACTTGCATGCCAAAAAATTTACCTATTGTAAGTGTGAAATTCAAAAATTTTTAATGTATTTGCAGAGTTGTGCAAACATCACCGTGTTCCAGGGTTTTTTAATTTTTATTTATTTTTGGCTGTGCTGGGTCTTCCCAGCTTTGCTTGGGCCTTTTCTGGTTGCGGTGAGTGCGGCCACTGTCAAGTTGTGCTGCTCTCCCTCCCGGCCCCACCTCCCCAGGGTTCACTGCAGAGTGGATGGGCAGAAAACGGCAGGTGGCAATATGAGGGGCACAATATAGAGGGTAAGGAAGAAAGGGAGCAAGGGGAAAAAAGCGAACTGAAGACCCTATGCAAGCTTCACAGTATCATGTATATCTAATTTATGTTAAATGTTACATTTGCATATATGTTTGTGCACAAAGAACTTAGGAAAGAGCCGCCTTTCTATTGACCAGTTACATCCACTGACAAATGAAAAAGGCGAGTATCGAAGTAGTGAGTGACAGGCATAGTCTGATGCATTTTGGTTAAAACACAGATCCACTGCTCTCTGCACACGTGCTTGTGTTTGTGTGAGCATGGAGGAGGACTGTGCGGGAGCACAAGACACTGTTGATGCTGGTTCCCTGGCGGACAAGAGAATTAGCTTCGCTTCTAAAGATGTTTCCACTGTATTGTTCTGCTTATTAAAACAAGCATATATCACTTTAGTAATTTGTGAAACATGAAATCAAGTTTAGAAATAGTGTTGAGTGCCTGTGCCCATGCTGGACCAGTGCTGTATATTTAGCACCTCATTGAAATTCTCACAGCTCAGAAAGCCTGCACTCTTATTTGTGCAATACTTGTAAGGAAAGGGGGGTATTGAGCAGGAAGCTACTCGAGCAATTAAATTACTTCCCTGGTGGCTCAGACGTAAAGAATCTGCCTGCAATGCAGGAGACCAGTGTTCAATCCCAGGTGGGGAAGATCCCCTGGAGGAGGGCATGGCAACCCACTCCAGTAGTCCTGCCTGGAGAATCCCATGGACAGAGGAGCCTGGTGGGCTATAGTCCATGCGGTTGCAAAGGGTCAGACTCGACTGAGCAGAGAAACCAACCACCCTGGGCGGGAACCAGCCGGCCTGGCTCTGGGGCCCGCACTTGGGACGGCACCTGAGCTGTTCCTTCAGCACCAGCCCAGGGACCTTCGCGCCGCCGCCCCCCCACCCCACCCCAGCTGCTTGTCCCCATCAGGGC